GGTGTGTTATAGTTGCAGTCCAGGCTGTGTGTTTTTTTATGGATAACATGTTCTCTTGGCTTAAACTGTGGGCAGCATATGTATGATTAGCTTTAAGGAATTAAAATAATTGGACAGCATGTGCTGTCAGATTATATTCCTGCNATCAATTTGTATAAAATCAGATAATCAAGCCGAATACAACAGTTGAGCGACCGTGCTAGAACCATGGAATTCGGGAATGCCTAACACCTTCTCCCGGGTTAACAGAATTCCTTATCCGGATTTCTGGTACGCAGGCTATAATATAGAGTCATTCTTTTCCTCGATTCGGGATTAAAATTGGTGACTTGGGACACCCTAAATCTCCCAAGTGGCGACTCTGAAATAATTAAACCAACCCCGTTTCGATTGTCCTTTAATTGGAAAAAACTCCCTTGCGCCCTCGCGGGTACGTAAAAAGGAGGTGTGACACTACTCGACCGAGGTCAGGCTTGGCACCTACTGGGTACCGCTGTGGTGTACTCATGCCCTTTCCTGAACATGTTTTCCATGTGCAGATCCAGGTACTAGCTATCAGCCTCGAATCTAGTTGTGTGGTTGCTACTTCAGGAGACTTCAAGGTACATCTGCCGCGTCCGCAGACCTCAGAGTCCCCTTCTATCCCCTATGTTCATTTTCTTCTTTTCCATAGAAATGATGTATAAAATAGTTAGGACTTCTTAGAAGATTGTGACATTGCGACATTCCGGGTTTTGGGAAAGGTGATTATTTTATATGCCAAGCGGCATCGTTTCTGCTTATTAACTATATTCATTAGTTGTTATCTTTGTGTTTTTATTTTATTTCCGCAATATTAGGCTTACCTAGTCGTAGAGACTAGGTGTCGTGATGACAGTTCACGGAGGGGAAAACTTGGGCCGTGACAAAAATCCAGCAGCCTCAAAAGGCATCTTCGCGAACGCGTGAATTCCTTCGCGTTCGCGAAGAACAAAACCAAACACCAACAACCAACAATAACAAAATCATCCCAACTTGGTCGGAAACTACTCCAAAACACACCTGAGGCCCCCGGGACCCTGTCCATTCATACTAACCATTACCATAACATAACATGGACCTGCTCGATACCTCAAATCACATCAAACAACATCCAAATTATGAATTGACGATCAAATTTCTTCTATAAACTTTCAAACTTCGACGAATGCATCCGAACCCTATCAAAATATTTCGGAGTGACGCCAAACTTTGCGCACAAGTCACAAATCATGATACGAACCTATTCCAAGGCTCATAACTCCAAACAGACATCGATTACATCAAAATCCACCTCAAACCAAACTTATGAGATTCTAGAACTTTCAAAATGCCAACTTTCTACAATAAGAGCCCAAATGATCCCAGACCACCCGATACTCAATCCGAACATACGTCCATGTTCAAAATCATCAAATGAACCTATTGAGACATTCAAATCCCGATTCCTAGGTCGTTTATTCAAAAGTCAAACCTTGGTCAATTCTTCCAACTTAAAGCTTCCAAAATTAGAATTTTCTTTCTAAATAAACTCCGAACTTCCCGAAATTTAATTTCGACCACATGTACAAGTCATAATACCTGAAGTGAAGCTACTCAAGGCCTCAAATCACTGAACGATGTGCTAGAGCTCAAAACGACCGATTGGATCGTTACAAGGTACATTCTTCCAATGACATCACCTTCTATCCCTGAATCTTGAAACTTTACTTGTAAGTTTTTCATATATCTTTTTTCTACTGTATTAAAGAAAATTCCCCCCTTTGCTAATTTTTATTTCTCTTATTTCAGCCACCCGTTAGGTTCCACCATCGGTTCAAATCCTAACCCAATGGGAATAGAAGATCTTAGACATTTTCACACCAGGTTCTCGTAGGTGGAAAGAAATTTTATCCAAGTTTAATTGGAAGACCAAGAACCATGGTAAGTAAAACTTCTATTTTCCCTTTTCCCTTTCCTGACCCTGCTTTACAATGCGCAGGCCTTCCAAAGGGGTCTTCTATTTGCCCTGTTGTTGAGGTTTCCCACGACCCAACGGTGGCCCATTAACAAATTCGAGCAATCCTTGACCGGAAGAGGGCTCGTGATGCCACTCTTGCTTCCTATGAAAGTCCATCCTCCATGAGTCCCCAGCCTAAGGATAAAAAAACCAAAAGAAAGTGTACCTCAATGGTTGAGACTCAAGAGTAGCCTTCGACAAAAGAAGCTCCAACCGGACCAACCACAGTGGTACTTGACGAAGAAGAAACTGATGGCAATTAAGTGGTTTGTCTTTAAAGGTTAAGAAGATTAAGTGATTTGTCTTTAAAGGTTAGAAACTCCCTAAGATGACCATGCAACCTCTTTATGAAAATGCCAACAATCCCAAAATATGTGGCCATGCGTTTCATGGAATTCACACCATATATTAGGATTTCTTTGACTAGGATCCAACCGAATTGGTTTCAGAAATATAGCCTTCTTGTTTCTCATAGCTGAAACTAGTTCTACCAAGCGAATATTGAAGTCGTAATCGGATAACCGGGGTATACTGAATCTCGAGACCCTAATGGTTCCTTCTTATGTAACGTACTGCTACTCCGGCCATAATCATCCTTTCTATTCGATATGACCATGTCTGATGATTGAAAACCTTTATTTCCACGCCCATCAACCTTTTCATAAGGCTGAAAATGAACCTGGGAAGACCTCCCATCTGCATCGAAATCAATTTTGAACTTTTCCTAATTCCGATTACGATTGCGACCTTTGGAAGATAGCGAAGAACAAAATTTATCATCTTCAATTCTGATTTTTGATTCATAACGCCTGTCCATATGGTTGCTTGAAACTCCAATAAGTTCTCCTTCAATTTTCTGGAGGCATAAAAACTTAAATTATTAAGAACTTTGGTGAACGGATCAGTTGCCCACTCATCCGTTACTGCCGATAATAACATCCTCTCCTTTTGAAACCAGATTACGAACTCTCGTGACAATTCAAATTCCCCTTGATCGATTATGAATATGTTTGCTTTCCCAACTTGGACTTTCCTCGCCCCAGCATGAGTTTTAATGAAAGAATCTGCAAATATTTCAAAGCCAATCGAATGCTCAGGTAAAAGAGAATACCATGTTAAAGCACCCTTTGTTAGGGTTTAGCCAAATTTCTTCAGCGGGGCATATTCGATTTCATGAGGAGCCAAATCATTTCCCTTTATAGCCATAGTGTAAGTTGTGATATGCTCTTGTGGTTCTGAAGTTCCATCATACTTCGGGATATCAGGCATCTTGAATCTTTTTGGAAACAACTCCGGGGCCTGCACTTGGTTTAAATGGAAACTATGTGTATTTCTTCGAATTCGGACCCTTCAATACTAGTGGTGCTCGCGGGATCTGATCCATATGAACGTGTCATTCTTTAGCATTTTGATCCATCCAATCATTTATTTCTCTCATAAATCTCATGAGTTCGGTTTGAAAGGAATCATTTGGGTTGTAATTCTCGGATCCACTACCCACACGACTTGCTTGATTTTTATTAAAACCAAACTCCTCCCTTGAAGCGACGTTCCCAGTTCTTTGAGCTGTTTGATTTGCAGGCACCCTGAAAGGGGCTTTAACTCTTCTATTGGAATTATTGGAAGCAACCGAAAGTGTTTGCTGAAGTTCAGTCATTATCCATTCTTGTTTTGAGAGATGGTTCATAATCTCCCTTTTGTGTTGCTTTCAAAACTTTTACTATTTCAACAACAGGTTCATCGTCCATATCATCAAAAGTTGGACCTCTCACATGACGAGGGTTTCGTTCCTCGTAAACTGGAGTTGTCTTATCTCCTTCGTTGCGAGTTTCACTAGTTGAATCAGCACGATGGAACATATCTTCATGCTCGTTATTTGTTCCAGTATTGAAAGATTTGTTCACATCGTTAGCTGCCAAAATCTGATTTTTGTTATTGACTAAAGAAAAGTGTCAAAATGCATTAGTAACACATGAATGGATCAAAGTAGTAACACAATTGTCTATGCTCACGATGGACGCCAAATTGTTTACCCGTCAAACGATACAGTTAAATTTGTAACATGATTTATAGATACATGAATTAATTTGATCCAAGAATATAAAATAACTAAGAACAGAAATAAATTGATTAAACTAATTTGAACAAAAAATAAGCATGATTTTAGGATGAGCCTATGCGGAAGTAATAATAAGAACAATATATAAAACAAAAAGGAAGAAATTTGTTAATAGAGTAAGAGCAGATTTTGCCTTTTGTGTACAAATATTTTTTCGTATCCAACAATGAATACAATTTCTCCTATTTATAGCTCAATTTGGGGAAACAAGATCCCCAAATTGAGCTCTTCTTTAATATGAATAAAACCCTTTTGATGGCTGAATAACGGTTGTGCATTATTTTATTTTTTTTATAACGGCTGCTCATTGAATGCTGTCTCTTCCAACCGACATCTTCCTTTCAGATCTTCGTCCCCGGTTCCAATGTCTTCGGAACTTACTCAGTACCGGTCACATGTTCGTAACCGGTGCTAGCTATTTGCTGATTCATATCTTACTTGTCGTTACTTCCACGTGTCAACTCGTCGAGCATCCATCTGTCGTTTTATCAATTTTACCCTATACAATTATATACTTGGTAATTAATAATAAAGGGTTATATGATGATTATAAATGGATTATTACACATTGATTGATACTAACATTTAAGAGTGCATGTTAGTCATTAGACAATTTAATCTTCGTCTTATCAATACACATATTGTTCTTTCATATTATCAAAGAATACAAAATATTTTTGCATAACTTAATGTATGTATTATTTAATATCATCACCCAAAAGCTGTATTAGTTATGGTGATAATTATTTTCTCCTTATGCAATCAATCAAATACTATATTACCTTGAGCGAGATTTTATGTTGTGATTAATTGCTCCAATACCAAAACCGAACCATCCCTACAAGTTTCGTGAAAGTGGTAAGAAGGGCCGAACCACATGACTTGGGCTTAAACCTACCAGCTAGCCTACATGTGTACGTTTGTTTTTTCACCCTAAAAATGGTTTTCCCGCCTAAGCCACCGTTACTATTTTCATGCCATATTTTCCGGTAAGATATCTTTATCATGTCCAGAGTGACTTTCCAAAGTTCTCAGGAGATCAACGAGAAATAATAAAAGGAGAAATGCACAAAAAATATTACTGCTATTTGAGAAGTAGGGGTTAGTCAAAATGGACTCCCCTGAACCTTCCTCAAAGACCGCTACCATTAACTCTACAATCAACCCCACACATGCCGAAGTAATTTCTATACCTTTTTCTTTGATTATAAGGATATATGTATGCGCTACATTTTACGTTTTCTGTCCAACTGGATTTAATTTATGAGCGGTTATTGGATCTTAGTCTGATTTACTTTTCGTTTGTTTGTTTTTTGATAGTTTGGGGTAACATGTATTTGTAAGGTGCAATTTAGTTTCAATTGGGTTGACTTTGGTCAAGGCTTTTTCTGAAATTTGTTGACTTCAATTTTTTTTAAAGAATTAGTTGGATTTAAGGGTTTCTTGTTAAGTTGAAGTTGAGTGCAAATTACTCTCAAGTGGGTTGAGGCATTTCTGTAGAAATTTTTTAAATTAAGGTCTGGTTTTAGTTTTTTTTTTTTAAAGTAAAAAAAAAAGAATTTCTTTGAATTGTTGTTTTCTTTTGGTTTTTGAGTTATTTGTTATGTGGTTTTCCACTTGGTGTTCGGTACCAACGGCCAATCAAAATTCATGCCACGTAAGGCCCATTAAAAGGGGAAGTGCTCCCTATCAGTTTTTTCGCCATTCCCAGGTCTTGAACTCGATAGTTTTTTGTCTTACTTTTAAGTGGGTTGAAGCCTTTTAAAGAAGTTGAATTGCGAGGTTTGGGGTTTAGGATTTTTTTTTTCAATTTGTTATCTTTTTTAGTTTCAGATAATTTGGTGTAATGAGTTTTGCTAAGTTGAAGTAGGAGACTAAGCATTTTCATGTGGCCTTTGTTTGGGATGGGATTCTCTATTTGTTTTGGGTTGAATATTTGAGTTCTAGGTATTTGTTGGAGGTATATGCCAGAGTTTACATTCTGACTATTGGATTTGATTGATGTTAAGTTTGGATCGAAGACTAATCTTGAATGCTTTGGATTATCTTGTTTAATGTGATTTTGTAGAGTTGAGGTTGTGTACGACTGTATGATGTGATTCAATTGGGTAGATATATTTCCTTACTCAATTTTATTGAATTTTGATGTCCGGCTCTTGAATGGTTGATTTTAATGATGCGAGTTTCTATTCGTTATCGTGTCTGGGGTTCGATTACTGCTTTCCATTGAGGGTTGTTAACTCTCCCTAATTGTCTGAGAGATGGGTTATTTGTCTCTTTATAAGGTTTTGAGCAATCCTCACCTCTGAGCTAGCTTTTGGGCTATTATGATCCCGTTTCTTATCATGGTATCTGAGCCAAGCTCTTCCCTGTTATCGTTTGTCCCTATGTTGGACCCCCATATTATGTTTTCCACCTCCAGTTGGCAGGCTTGTCTTGTGGGAGGGTGTCAAGCCTTTGACATTGTTGAGTAAGGTTATTTGTCTCCTTATATGGTCTTGCGTAATCCTCATCTCATGAGCTAGCTTTTGTGGTTGAGTTATAGACCTTCCGGTCCATTTCTTAATAAAGGTGATTCTCTATTATTTTGGGTTTACTGAGAAATTCAATGCCAAGCTATAAGATTGTAGCAGTATTTGTTTATGCATAGTTTGTTTATGGTAAAAAATGAAGAAGGTATATGGCTGCATCTTAGTTTTTGCATGCGCCTCTGCTTTCCGCTTGCTCCCTGTGTTCTGTTATTGGTTATGAAAGATATTTTGGGTTCAGCTTTGATCTTGTTGGCTATTCATGTTCTCCTTTTCTGCTTCAGGCAATGGTTTGATATCATTAGTTACTTTTCTTTACCCTTGTCACAACTACTCGAATTTTGTGAACTACTTGAAACAGTTTCTAGATGACGGGTGCATGATGGCTGCTCTCAGGAATGAGTTTCTTTTCATCCTTCAATGCATTTCTCTTACTCTTTTATTTTGTTCTCAGGACTCACCTGTCTTCAGTTATATTAGCAACCTCTCTCCCATACAACCTGTCAAGGCCGCTCCAGTTGTGCAAGGTTTCCCAGGGCTGAATTCTCCTCCTCTTTTATTTACCTCACCTCGAGTTAGTGCACATAGTCGATTGAGAAGGTGATATAAGACTGTCTTTAAGAGTCTTCTTATTTATGATGTTGATAAAAATATGCTATTCATTCCCGTCAGGCAAAAACTAACTATTTCAGAACCTTAAACTTATCTCAGGAGCCAGTTTCCTCAACTATCCAGTGAAGTGTTTTCTGGGAAGAATGAGGATAATAACAATGCTATCACAGATTCAGATGGCAATGGAGCATCTGTTTCTCAATTGAGAAGTGAACTAAGCCCTTCTGTTCAGAAAGTATCTGATAATAACATATCTGTGCCCGATGAAAGTGGGAGTCTCATAAGATGTGTGGATGAGTTCTTAGTTGATGTTTCGAATTCAGAGTCTGCTAATCCTTCAAATTCAACTAATCCCAGCCCAAAAGTAGCTGATAATATTCCTCAATCACCAAATAGTGCAGCGGAATCTGTTGCTGATTTTGCAAGTAAGGATGCAAGAAAAGACGAGATTCCAAAAGATGCTGCCCGTGTTGTTGTAGAGCAAGCTGAAGAGGAGAATAAGGGAAAGTCTTCATCTGATCAGAAAGATAATGGGATTTACAATACCAGTACTGATTCTGATCTGCCATCTCCTGATTTATGCACAAAGATTGAGCCTGACTTGCCTGCTGATAATTCATTGCATTATCATTGTAGTGACCGTCAGATGGCTCAGGTAATACCGTTTCTTTCTATTTGATTTTTTGGAGGAACTCATGTTATATGAGCTATTTATGTCATTTCAATTTTTTATGAATTGCAGCTTTCACGGGCTGACCATGCTATGTTGGATGAGGCTTCTGATATACAGACCGAACTATTGGAGAATGCACATGATTGCAGAAATGATAATGATAAGATTAACTCAATGTCAAGTGCACCAGATGAATGCATAATGCAACATGATTCTCAAACCAAGGTGTGAGATGTTCATGTTCTGATACTATTGCCCAAAATTGAACCAACATTGATAATTATGCAAATTCAGTGATATATAGGAAAAAAACTAATGTAAATCCTCTTGCAATTCACAACATTCTTATATTCCTTCGTCAACGTGCTTGCTAAACGTTTTTAATGGTCATTGGCCCATACCGAACTCACTAGATGCCTTGTCTTTTCACTTATGCTTAGTTTATTTGAGTCTTGCGATTCTGTCTATTTTACTACAAGTCACTTAAACATCAATAAGCGTATTATTATGGTTTCAGAATATGAAATGAGACATGGCTTTGTACTAATGAATGAGGTTTAAAATCATGAAGAACTTAACATTATCTTTCTTTTATAATCGAGAAATACCTCATGAGATAACTGGCCCAACTTCAGTTGGTCAGCAGGTACAAACCTTGAGACCACAAATATTCTCTTAAACGAAGGTATTCACGCTTGAATGGCGGTTCAAGATCAGTCTCATGAAAACCTTATATTCTCCGAGGAGGTTCTGAGAGTATGGGCCCACCTCTCTACCTTGCTCCCACTTAAATTCTAGGCTTAAGTTAACAGCAGGGTTTGAACTCGTTACATATGCCCTAGCCACTGAACCAAAGCCCTGGGGGCTCGTTATTGTCTCTACTTTGGACCCACTTCCATTTAAATGAGGTAAAGCTTCAGCTCCTAATACTCCTGCCCTCTAACTTGATACCTGATTTAGAATGAAGGTAACATTCATTTTTCTCCCGTCCATCTGGATTGTTGTGACTCAAGATAGCAGAAGTTATGCATACAGGCTACATTCTGTAACTGAAACTTCTCAGTATTGTGGGATCTGCTATCTATCCTTTTGCCTTTATTCTTGAAAGACGTAATGGTGCCATTGAATAGTAATTTACAATAAGTATGAAGTCTGGCCTAAGAGACTGGTGGAAAGAGTTTACCTTTTTGTTGGTAAAGGCTACCTCGTGCCAAGGCTTTTGTCATAGAATATCTTTATGCCTCCATTTTCTCGTTTCTCATATGCCATCCAGTTAGTTTATAATCCCACCGACATGACAGGATAATTTGACTGTTGCCCCTGCTAACAAGAAAAAACACATGCAACCTCATCTCACTGTCCATAAGCACCTGTTTGAAGCTGTGCAAGTGGTTTCTGAAAATTCTGCTGATGTCCCTGTTTAATTCTCTTGAGTCGTTGACTTTATGTAAACGGAAAGCACAGGAAATCCATGTTGCTTTTGAAACAGTAATATAAGGAACTTACAAATTTTGATGACACTATTGCGTTTGATCATGATAAATGAACATATAGTTATGGCCTAAATGGTTAGAAAAAAAATGTAGGCTGGTCAATATCAAAGTGGAATACGTAGGCGTTGTCTCCAATTTGAAGATGCTCAACGGAAGATATCACCAACTAGCGTGGGTTTACAGAACGCTTCAGATGTTGTGAGCTGCTCAATACCACCTGTCAGTCCTGCTGTCATAGAGGTCATAGCATCAGGTTCATCAAATAGATCATCAACTGCAAGCAGTAGGCCATCTACCCAACTGACATCTTCTTCTGACAATTTTGGAAGCTTTGCTGTTAAAGTTCCCAAGCCATCTGGTATTGGCTTGCACTTAAATAGTATAGCTATGCAAGCTGGTTCTCGTGGTTCTCGTGCAACTGTAAGCGTGAAATCAGCTGAGAGGGGTAACTTGAGCATATCTGGGAAGAAGTTGATGTCCATGATGAGCTGTCACCCTTCTGAGAACCTAAAGAGTTGCTCGATATCTTCAAATGTGGTTGGGAGCCATTTGACTATCGGTGACAATGATGGTGAACATGAAAGTTATGGGACGAATGCAGAAAGTGCTGCCTCTTTGCATCTTAATGCTGCAAAACCTTTAAACAACACTGTGCTCTTGAAGCCAACGGAGCATACTATAAGTCACAAAAGGAAGTCTAGCTCCGAATATATCGACAGCCCTATGAACTACAATCAGTCTAGTCCCAAAAAGAAAAGGCAAGCCTGCTTGTTATATCTCCAAATAACTAGCTTAATATGTCCAATTACTTTTTTACAGAATTGTATGTTTGTGTAATTCAGGAAGAAACCCTCAGATGCCTATGATGGTGATGGCTGCAAAAGATGCAATTGTAAGAAGAGTAAATGCTTGAAACTGTAAGTTGTTTAAAATGTTTGCATCGCTGATCTTTAACATCCATTACATGTCTACTGAATTTTGTTTATCTTCAGTTATTGTGATTGCTTTGCCGCTGGAATATATTGTGCGGGGTCTTGTGCTTGTCAAGGTTGCTTCAACAGACTTGAATATGAAGACACGGTTAATGATGTGCGGCAACAAATCCAATCTCGGAATCCCCTGGCATTTTGTCCAAAAATTGTGCAGCATCCCACTGATTCCCCTGCAAGTATTCTTGGGGTATTCAACTCTTCCGAGAGCTTCTTTTATTCAGGAAGCTCAATCTCCTCATAGTTGACATATCTACTTGCAATTTTACAGGCGGAAGGAGCAAGTTTTACGCCTCCCTCTGCAAGGCACAAAAGAGGTTGTAGCTGCAAGAAGTCAATGTGTTTGAAAAAGTACTGCGAGTGCTATCAGGTACATTTCTGTCACATACCATGCATTCTAATTTGCTTTTTCTCAATTATCTAAGTTGTTTTTCCTTCTTTTATCTTAACAGGCTAATGTTGGATGTTCCAGTGGATGCCGTTGTGAAGGATGTAAAAATGTCTATGGTCTAAAGGAAGGTATTAGCAACATAACTTTTCCTGCTAACTTGCTGAGCTAAGAGTGTCTTTCCTACAAGAAAAGAACAGCCCAGCATCTTAAGTAGAACATTATCTTTCCCTATGCTTTTGACTGTCGTTACTCGTTACTCATATTTTTGTTGATGGTTCTTTGTATGTGTTGCAGTGTAGGGATTCCCGTTAGGTACATGAAATAACTAATATTTTAGATATCAAGGGATAATATTAGCAAGTAGGTACCAGACTACTTTCTTTAATGGTAGAATCTATTTCTATCACAATATAATGCTTTGAGGTTTCTGAGATAACTATAGTATTTGACAAATCTAAATGTTTAACATATGCTTTAATGTGCTTGTCTCACATTAAAAATGGTTCATTGTAAAAAATGACCATAGTAGTTAACTCTGAATATAAAATATGTTTTAATGGGCTTGTCTCATAGTAAGTGGTCAATGACTAACAATTGAATTTTTTTGTCTGATGAGAACAAAATATGTTGCTCTAAACTTCCCAAATATGGATAATACCAAATACTTGAGCTTGGCTGGTCTTACCCTTTTCTCATTGATACAAGCCCCTGTCATCAAGTCAGGTCGCTTATATAAGCTTAAACGAAGTCACTCTTTTGTTACTTCAGTCTAAGTAAAATATGTGTGATAATGAACATAGAATGCTGTATGTGATAAAAAGGTGTGTATATCATACGTAGCACAAATATGCAGGCTAAACATGGTGTCCCTCATTTTCTCTTCCTCTCCACTAGTCAGAACTATGAAATGCATATCCTAGACGTTGTATCTCAATGCACTTCGCAGAATTGGGTCTAACTAAGAGATAATTTGGAGTTTCAACTAATTCCATCCATCAAGGAAACAAGTGCAGTCCTATCCCTTGATAAGCCAGTATCACAACTCACAACTATGGTCAACTTGGTGAAGTTGACAACAAATTAAGCTGGTTCTCTTGTAAATTCAGTAATGAAGTTTTGGCTATACTAAAGTTCTTGATGATGTACTAGTTCATTGATGAATCTGATATAACTTAAGTTGGAACAGTTGAAGCATGCTTGCTTTGCCCATATAATCTAATTCTGAAGTTAGAGACATTCATATAGTATTTGCTCTATATTCCTTGGTTTGCAATGTTCCTCACAGTCTGAGCTTAGCTTTTATTCTCTCTCTCTCTCTCTACCTCGATCGAGAGAGAGAGAGAGAGAGAGAGAGAGAGAGAGAGAGAGAGAGAGAGAGAGAGAGAGAGAGAGAGAGAGTTCTCTTTCTTCAACCCAAAAATGAGTAGCTAAACTTCTAATATGTGGAGTAGCATTTCCTTATTCAGACTAAACAACAACAACATCCCAGTAGAAAAAAGAATTTTTATACTTATGAAAGATAGTGTTAGTACCGCACCATTCTCCATGTTGACAATGTGTTGTATCACGGTAATATGATTCCTTTCAAAAAAAAAAAAAAAAGAGAAAGAATCACGGTGATGTGATCAAGAGCGCTTGAGCTGCCTTATATTTTCTTTTCTTGGCCAT